GCTGTCAAGCAGATCGTGTACAAATGGAGGCAATTCAACACCATTGTTACCCTTCCCAGGAGTAATTGATCAACCAAGATCACAGCAAGAGCAAGACATGTAATACTCTGAGAGATCTCAAAGAACCCCAGGGTACTGTCTAAGGAGTTAAAGGCCTCACTTGCATTGGCGAATGTCAGTGTTCATGAGACTACCATCAGGAGAACACTGAACAACAATGGTGTGCATGGCAGCGTTAGATCATATGTTTTAAGTCATATTTATTTATTTATATGTCACATTTATATATGTAGAAATATTGAAAATTCAAAAGGGTTCACAAACTTTTAAGCACTACTGTATCTGTTGATAGAACCTAAAGTTGCTTTTTTAGTTGTCATGTTACACTGTTGACTCATATTCATTTTGTAATCAACTACTTTTCCAAAATCTGTTTCCCTAGTACTGTCATACCAGATATTCCCCATTCTGTACCCTATTTAATTTCTGTGCAAAGTGAACTTTGCATTTAAATATATTAATCTCATTTTTGTTTCCCGGGCATTTCTGTAACCTACCAAAATTGTTTTGCATTTTACTTCTGTTTTCCAGGGTGTTAGCTATCCAATCCAGTTTGCATCATCTGCAAATTTGATATTCACCTTTTCATCCAGCTCATTACCTTACATCTGTAGGCCGCCTGGGTCCTCCTTTCTCCCTTTTCTAAACTGTAGAACATCCTTTACCCTCCATTCTTCAAAGTTTCTCCAGGATAATATGCTTTGTCTAGACCATTAGCAAATTCCTTCTCTATCTGGGATGCAGTTCATCTTGCTTTGGAGATTTAAATTGGAAGTAAATAGATTAACCTTAATTGTTCTTAATCTCAAGCTTCAAGCCTTCCTCTTTGGGCTGCTATTCACAATTGCCTGATGGAACATATAACCTCCTTTTGGAAAAGACTAAGCCAAAATAGTTAAATATTTCTGCTTTGTCTTTGTTTTTTGCCATCTTGACTGTTTAGCTGGCATACACATTCTTTTCCTCTTAGATCTGAAGAAGCCCTTTTTGTTGTTTTTAGCAATTCTCGGTAACCTGACCCTCATTCTGAGGTTCAGCCTTACTAATACTATTTATACTGTTCCAGATCTCTATATATACTCTTTCTTTGGAACCTGTCCTTTCTTTTCTCTTTTCATATCTTTACTAAGCTTTTTGTGCAGCTGCATTGGAAAACAATGTGTCTTTCAGTTGGTATATTCCAGTCATAGGAGTCCTACCATCAGCTCTCTGTTATCAAATCCAGTTTTTTGCTTGTTCAAAGAATTCAAGTTTAATCTTGTTGAATTCCATAACTTGAACTTTTACTGCCTAGATAAACTTAATGAGCATTTTTTCTGAATTTTCATTGGGCATTTTATTTCATAGGATATAAATCTTTATTTAAACTCTTCAGTGTGTTTGTCTAGAATTCGCACACCCTTTGTTTTTCAAGCATTGGTACATACCCGCACTTTCTGGAAGTATATGTCAGATTGTGCTCAAACAGGAGCTCAAACCAGCCATAAGCATTACAGATTAGGACTCTCTGTTTAGCTTCATTTTTATTTCTAAAAGCACAACCAGTTGAAGACTGTTACTAGTTCTTTTTCTCTTAAGCTCTCAAACTAGCCAAGTACACAGTTTATATAAAGGGAGAATTTAAGGACTTTCCTCAGCTAACTCAGCTGTCAGACTCCTGTTAGCTCTCTAACTTCCCTCACTCAGCAAATTTGGTCCCTGGAAATTTTCTGTCTTATATTTTATTTAACAAATTTCTATGCCACCGAGTCTTTTAGACTCAAAGGTTTATAACAGCAGACTGTATTTTTTATTCAGGCTCTCCATACTCAGCAGAAAGCAGACACTATAACCCAGAATTGGCAGTCTACATCTCTTAACAGACCTCTTATAAGCAGCAGTTATGCAGGAAAAGCCTGTTTTACCCCCTGCACATAGTCTCTCCAGATACACAACTTGTTTGGTCACGATCCTCTCTTCCTTATCTTAAATTGTACTAGCAAATTCCTTTTTTTTCTCCCAGCTTACTAATTCAGTGACTCTGAATATGAAAGAATATGTAGGAGGAATCCAGTGGTATTTTTGCATGAGTGATATATACAGTTTTTAAGCTTGCAGTTAATTGGAGCATGAATAAATGCTTCATAACAATGGAACTGCTGATCCGGTAGAGATATGAGTGTATGTTTATTTCACTTAACAGAACCAGACCTATTAATTACCAATAGCTAGCCAGACATTTAAGCCAGTTTAAATTTATTTATGTTTTTATCAGGTTTTATTTTTTGTGTGTGTGGTAAAAATATATAATCTGGGCTTTAATTCATTGCCTCATTGCATTCTTTGTCTGACTGAATGCCCTAAATAAATTGAAAACTGTCTTACTTTTCAAATGTATGTCATGATTTAGTACTAAAAGATTTTAAAATAATTTGTTTAAAATCTTTTTAAATAAAAAACTGGATATATATTTATTGGTGTCTTCTTATTTTGTCCTTTAATTTACAGTTCTGGGAAGAGGAAAAGGGGACCTTTTAAAACTATCAAATTTGGGACCAACATTGATTTATCAGATGACAAGAAGTAAGTAAAGCCACATAAACAGCATCAAACTTTTTCCTTTTACTACAAACCTTTCTTAGATTGTATTGCCAGTTATAGTTGGCTACATTATTTCAGGTAGTATGATTACAATGGTGGCTATTAGCATTCTTTAAAAAAAAGTAAAAAGACATTTTAATTAAACCACAGCCCATTGAATTCATCATCTTGTTTCTAACACTGTGTTGCAAATTCTGCTACAAATACAGTTACTCAGTATCACACTAAGACAATTTAGTTATAAAAAGTTGGATGCTCTTGCTTATACATCCATGGAATCTAGAACAAAAGAGATCTGTCCTTTTCTTCAGAGAAATTCAATTCAAAGATTTTTTTCTCCAATGTATAGATGATATTATTTATTTTCCTTTAAAAGAATACCTTCATTCAGTTCAAATCATTTTTTTCAATAGATGACAATTATTTTATTTATTTAAAATTTTATTCCACCTGAAATAACTGGAATAAGGTCTCCGAAGGCATTCAGGAAGCAAATTTTTCACAGAACACCAAAATATCAGCCAGATTCATTAGTATTACAAAAGGGCACTATTCTCATCTGATTATCTATTGTGGGTAATATTTATTAAATACATCAGGATAGTTTACATACCCCATCAGTAACCTGACCAATCCGAAGAATAAATACTTCACCTATGCAATAACCTATAGTTATAATGGAAGTCCTGCATTTTTGCAGTTTAGCTGTTAAAAGATTGAAGGTGGAAAGTCTAAATATTTATGTCCCAATTGACAGACCTAGAGGGACATTTATTTATTTTTATTTATTTATTTGTATTTCGAATTTAGACACCACCCATCTCACAAGGAAGTGACTCAGGGTGGTTTACAATAAAAACAAGAAATAAATCTTAGTTAAAATACAATAAAAACAGTATAAAAATACACTAAAACCAAACACATACATAAATAATAATTTATGCTCATCTTTGTAGGGCTGATATGGGTGGATGGTAACTTAAGAGAAATAATAATTATTAATTAAAATTGGATTTGTATGTGTCAAAATTCTATGATTTTTGCTCATTTTGAACACCTATTCTGGATGAATTGCTTTGATACATTGTGACAACTTAATAATTTACTCTTTCACTCACCTATGTCATTCTTCCTTCCAAATGTCATTATTCCACTTGGTTGCCATTAGTCTCATCATGGGCTGCAATTGGTATACTCGAGAATATCAACTTAGATTTTTACTGTGATTATATTCAGTTATTAAAAACTTTTCAGGGAATGAAAATGCTTCATGCTTCCCAAAATATTATATAATCAATTAATTTGCTGTTTTATTACAGATGGAAGCTACAGCTACATGAACTAACAAAACTTCCTGCTTTTGTGCGAGTGGTATCAGCAGGAAACCTTCTTAGTCATGTTGGTCATACAGTCTTGGGAATGAATACAGTTCAGTTGTATATGAAAGTCCCAGGCAGCAGAACACCAGGTAGGTAGTAAGAAATACCTGCTGACAAAAATTAAATTCCTTAATTCTGTTTTTTTCCCCTTTGAATTATATATCTTATCTAGTTTGAGAGATTTTATGCTTATATTTTTTAGACTGCAATCATTATTCATAAATCAACAGCAGAATTTTGGGTTTTGAGACATTTGGAATTATGAGGAATTGTTGAAACCATAACCAATTAATGACTTCCATGGGAGCATACTCATTCATATGCTTCTTCAGCATTCCCCCCATTTCTTATTCTGACAACAATAATAGTAGTAATAAATTGATAGTCTCCTCCTGTTATGTAAAATAAATGTATTTCCATTTCATCTCTTATAAAACAAGTTGATTTCCCACATCTGTAATAAATGAAGTTAATAAAAACATTAACATACACATTTATCTTCCCAATCTCCCTGGGAGAGCTATAAGGACCAAAGTCATATGCAAAAGCTTGAATCTACTAGCTTAGCAGGTGAGCCAGAAAAACAGGTCCCACCTGTCATGCAGTTCTTCTTCATGTTCAAGACCCTAATGATGTAGCAAGAACAATGGCAGCAGCATCTGCTGTGCTCTAATCTTCTGGCTTCTTGCCTTATGAATATGATGGAAACACAGGGATATCTATGATCTTCATCATTCAACATGAGTCGTACATCTGCTTCTGAATAGGATTTATAACTGCCTTTTGACTAGAGGAGCTGCAAAATGGATAACCAACTGCAGCAGAACAGCATCGATATCAACAGTTATATTAACTTTATAGCCACACTGAAGGCTGACTTTGATGACTTTGTTATTCTTTTTCATTTCCTCCTCTCACCCCTGCTTATCAAAATACTTTGGATGCCGAACCCATGCAGTTGAAATCAACTCCACTGTTGGCTAAAGACAAGCAGCATCAAAACATAAATTCTGGTTACACATTGTGAAAGGTTGGGCCATTTTGAACCAAATTGCCATGCTAAAATCCCCATCTGAGGCAGCAGCTTATTGCTATACTTGTGGAAAAGGTGGGAACATTTTGCAAATAAATGCCTTAAATGTGCCAGTGCTGGTTTGTTGGGAAACCTCCCCTCTTCAAGAAACTCAAGCAGGAAAAACAAAAATTAAGTGAGGCTCAGATATTTGATACAGAATGCCAACAATTGGTTCTTGTTATTCTTCACATCAGACTGGCTCTGCAATACACTTTCAGGCCATGATCATTTTTTGGTGCCACAGGCAACTTCATAGACTCTTCCACTGCATACAAGTATGCTTTGCACACCTTGCCCCCAGTGACAGTGAAAACCATAAGCAGCTGGTTTCTTGTCAGCTGGACCAGTTTCTGAACCCACATATCCTCTTCTCATCATCTGCATTCATCAAGAATCTCTGCCACTTTTGCTATTGTAATATTTTCTTACAGTACTGAAGATGAATTTCCTTTAATTCCAAAATCCAGATATTCACTCAGACCATTACATCGACTTTCCTGGAAGTAGGAACCTTGCCTCTCTGCTAATCCTGTAGCTGTACTGTAAATCTAAATTCCTGGAGTAAAAATTCCTGTCAAGCGATGTTATTCCTTATCAGAGTCTAAATAGTGCACCTAATATATATATATATTTATAACAATCTACAGTGAGGACTTATTCAACCATCTTCCTCACCAATCTTTGCCTCCACAATTTTTGTTTAAAAGAAATCCTTTACATATCATTCATGATTATTGGCTTCTAAATTCTGTCACAGATAAGGATCACTATCTGTCACAGTGTGACAGGGTTCTTTTTTGAACTGGAGGTGTATTGTTTTTCAAGGGTGGCAATTGACACAGAAAATGACAATGGAGGCTTTTATGCTTTTTTACTGTTTACAGTGACGTTATTTTCAGCAGGTATTTACAACAGGTGTATACAACACAATAATGTTGTTCAGTTGGTGTCAGGTTTCCTCCTAAATCTCCCTCCCGGAGACTATCCCCCTCTATCTTTCCTACTTCCTCCCCCTTTCTCTCCAATTCCCTTCACCATTTCTGGGCTTGACGAGAGAGAGTGGGGGGGGGGGAAAAAAAAAGAATGGGCTGGAATTACCGTAGTGTGTTCAGCACAGCTTGACCTTCTCCTGGATCTGCTCAGCCGAACACCTACTGCTTTTCTGTTGGGGAAGAACTTCTCTCAGGGTCTTTTGCCAGTCCTTCGCCAGAGACCATGGCTTTGCCGCCAACAGCTGATCCCCTTCTACCCCTTTTGGGGCTTGGGTGAAGCTGCTTCCTGCAGACAGCTTAGGCCCTTCCTTCCCATTCTTGGGTCTTAGGTGGAGCTCTCATCCCTCTGGGCCTTCACTTCCCTTCTTCCAAGGAAGCTACCCATAGACCTTTCTTCTCCCTTCCCGACCGGGAACCGACAACTGTTTCACACACTTAACTTCTCTCTCCAACTTTGCTTTCCAGCCACTCTGTTCGCTCCATGCATAGACATTTTCTGTCCTCTCCTTCCTCCCTCCCTCCCTCCCTCCCTCTCTCTCTCTTCTCTCTCTTCTCTCTCCATCGGCTCAGTTATATGGTAAAATAGAGAAATGTGCCTTTGAACTTGAATTATTTGGACTATTGTATTATGTCTATTATTTGGGTTATCATATTTTTTCCAAGGTCATCCAGATAGTTCCAGCCAAAATGGATTCCATTTTGTCTTGATACCACTTTAGAAATCAGAAACTTTCTACCAGCATTTCACCTTTGATTTGCAACGCCTATAAACTCTCTTACTCCTTACTAAGAAAGAGGTCTCCTTGAATCTGATGCTCAACAAGCTTTTGTCTTCCTCAGACGTTTGCTCAGCAGCTCTACCTCTGAGACCCTGATCCAATATGCCCCTCTATTGTCAAATAGATGTTTTTGCTTTGTGAGAAAAGTCACAGACAGTTGATCACGTGGGGGAAAGCCTGCCATTTGCCTTTTATTCTAGACAACTTCTGCCAACAGAAAGAAACACTATTTTTAGCAAGGAACTATTGATGATCAGAGACATTGATGCCACTTTCTGGAAGGAATTTCACACCAGTTCAGACACCTGCAAGCTTCTCACAAGTATACACAATGCTAGATCAGGTAGGCTCCAGTCTTTTCTCATTTTTGTATTTCCTACATTCCTAGCCAGCAAAACAAGAAGGGTGATTGTCTATTATGCAAGCCTGAATAATTCCTCTCCTACAACTCTCTTCCTATCTCCATCCTGTGACCCGAAAATTCCCCTGTTCTCCATACCAGCCTCATGTTACATGGGAAAGGAACTGGAAGGGGAAATTCCTCCCTGACTGAACAAGTTTACACACAGCAAGAATTACCCGCATGTACAGGCTCAAGAGATGACCTTGAGGAAAACTCATTTTGCCTTCCCCCTTTTCTTGGGATGCAGACAACAGCATCACACAGCTAGTTACATATCCCTCTTTTCCTGAGGGTAGACTTCTAGCAGGCTTTTTATGATAGCTGGTCAATGGAACTTTTTGGAGTGTTCAAAGCTACCCATCTCCTATTCCATGGCTTTTGGTAGCCCCACATTCAAGCAGATGTCAGGGCCTATGTTCCTTCTTGTGATATGTGTCAGTGTGTTTCCTTAGTTTCAAGCTAACAAGCCTGTTGCAACCTCTGGAGGCGTTGGAATACAGTTTCCTTGGACTCTTCCTTCATGTTTCCCAGCAATAAGGCATAGGCATTATTTGATTTCAGACAGAGAATTCAATTTATGCCCTGTTTTTGAGGGCTCACTTTCAGATTTTGGATGTTAAACTCTATTTTTCTTTTGCCCATCAACCCAGTCCAGTGGCAGATTTGAGAAAACAAATGCTACCTCAGAGCTATATTAACTGTCTGTTACATAACTGGCCGGGTAGTTTGTTTATGGCTGAGTTTGTCTATGTTTGCTATCACAAATCAACACGACGTATAGCTACCATCCACATCTCCTGCCAAACACCTCCTTGTCCCATCTTGTTCCAGAAGCCTCCAAGCAGGACAGCATCTTCTAAAGGAACACTTGAATCTGGTCAAGACTTCCTACAAACAAGTGACTGATCAACATTACCAAGAAGCCCCCCACCCCACCCCCTGTCAAACTGCCTGTTGGAGCTAGTACTATCAGATTTCTTCTTTCTACACAGCTGCCAAGAAGCTGGATTCCTGGGCCATTCTCTATACTAAGACAGATCAATTCTGTTGCCTTTTACCTGAAGCTTCCAGATACAATGAAGATGCTTTGTGTTTCCATCATTCCCTTGTTTTCCTAGAATGCCCCTTGCAGACCTGTGCCCCCAACCTTTTTAGTGATGGGGGAGAAAGCATTGGTGGAATGAATTACATAGCCTATGTAGTCCAACAGTCTGTTCTCACAGTGGCTAACCACTAGTCTCCCAGCATGGCCTTCAGAGGCACTTATACTACCATTAAGGCTACTAACCATTGATTTTCTATAACTTCCATGAATTGGTCCAGCACTTTTTTGAAGCCAGCCAAGCTGGTACCCAGCCCTACATCTCGTGGTGGTGAATTCCAAAGTTCAATTTTGCATTGCATAAAAGAAAAGAAAAAATCCTTTTTTCTGTCCTAATTCTTCCAAGATTCAATTTCATTGGGTAATCTCTGGTTCTAGTGTTTTGGGAAGAGGAAAATAGCTTCTCCTTGTCTACTTTATCTACACTCATGGTATTCAAACTGTGTTCCCTGGGACCCCAGGGTTCCATGAGAATCTTCCAGGAGTTCAACATGACAGTTTCTGTTTACATCATGTAAAATGTATTGCTGCAACATTAATTGTAACGCTTTATCCAAATACAATATATTCCATGAAATGTATTTATTTAATGGGTTCTGCACTGATTTTTCACATTTGGAACATATCGTTGGGTATCTCAAATTTGAAGACCACTGGACTACACCATACATAATTTTATACCTCGATCATGTCCCCTCTCATTCGCCCCCTTTTTAGACTAAAAAGCCCCAAATGTTGCAACCTTTCCTCATAGGAAGTTGTTCCAGCCCCTTGATCCTCTTAGCTGCCTTCCTCTGAATCTTCTCTAGCTATACTCTGTCCTTTTTGAGGTCTTGTGACCAGAACTATGCACAGTGTTCCAGATGCTATTGCACCACTGATTTATATAAGGGCATTATGATATTGGTATCTCAATACCATTTCTTATTATTCCTAACATGCTTTTGGCCTTTTCTGTAGCAGATGCACTGTGTTGGCACCTTCATTAAACTATTTACTATTACTCCAAGATCTCTTTCCTCATCAGTCACTGCTAGCTCTGATCCCATTACTTTGTATGAGTAGTTTTACAGAGGGGTATTGTTCCCTATCCACCACCACCAACATCCCCAAAAAAAGCTGTGGGGGAGAGTTCAAGGGTTGGGGGGCTTATTGATAAAAAGATGTGGGATAGAAACGTTTCCCCCTCTGTCTGGCCATTCTTGAGAAGAGATGGACATTAAATGAACCTTACCCAACATGATTCTCTTGTTTTCTGAAAATGCATGTAGGGGGCCAACTTAAGATTCTGCCTCCACAAGAGGTAAGAAGGCATGAACCAAATGGCAGGCCTTGTCTGTGGTTCCTCTACACCATAGAATACTTCCCCCTTCATTCTTGGCATTCAGGAAGGCATTAAAAGGCTTTCTTTTTAAGCAGCTTTTTGACAGTCTATTACTGAGTAACCAATTATTCAGGTTTTTTTGTTGTTGTTGTTACTAGTTTTCGTTTGGAAGTATGGTCATCTTAGTACATTTTTTTATGTCAGCGTTTTATTACACACTGCCCAGAGTCTTTTAAGTATTTGTATTTTTATTACTGGCAGGTTGTTTCTGTATAGTCTCTGGAGATTTTTTTCCCTCCAATTCCCTTGGACTGGAGGAGGGAAGGCATGAGACGTCATTGACTCTAGGCTCTTCCAATTTGTTATACGCAGGGAAGGGAGGAACTTAAGCTACTAGAACCCCAAGGACTCCACAATTCAACCCTGAGCTACATATATTCTCTTCTGTTGGTAATAGCAATATTGGTGTGCATCCACAGCTAGGGGAAAAAAGGAGAAAAGCAGTGGGAAGGAGGTAGCATGATGGTTAGAAGGACCATGGTCAGAGGCAAAGAGCCAGAATCCATATAGGTCAATTGAATAGCAGAGATGTCAGCCACCCATCCCACAGACAAACAACCATCTCTCATCTGGGGTGCCCAGATGGGAAACCAGATGCAAGATCTGAACCTGAGGATATAAGGCTTGAAGCTGATAGTTGGCAGTTGCTCATTTTCTGCTCTAATAACAGCTTTTCTAGTATCTCCGATAAAACTAGCTTACCAAAGAACTGCGTTCTTGAACATCTGCTGCTAGCCTTAAAATGGAAGTAACAATCAGGATGCATTCCTTCCCTCCCACCCATACCAGTGCATAAGCCAAGAATCTCTACCACCTCAACAAAAGCAGGAAGCTGCCACAAAGGAATTGAGTAGTGGTGAAGTAATTGGCTAAAGGAGGGAAGATGCCCTCAGATGGCAGAAATCAGGAGCCTGCTAGAGCTAGTAGTGGAGTAGAAAGTAGTAAATTATTTGAATGGTGGAATGGGCACACTCTACCTGCTACATGAAAGGTCAGGAAGGGAAGGTCAAAATGCTTAGACTATAGGATAAGGATGTACAGCCAGTTGGATTGTGAGAAATTAGAAAAGATGCCGAAATGGATATGGAAATCTGCTTTTTTCCTTGCCTATTTTTAATTCATAAAACTACTTTCAAAAATAGTATTTGATGCCACCTCTCACTTTTTCTAATCCCTCAAAGCCTAATTTTTGTAGAAAAATTCCAGTACAGTCCCTAGATCCCCAGATCTGCTACTGTATAGCAGCCTAAGTATGGTTAACATAATAATTTATAAACTTACACTTTTTATCCCATCCTTTTTTTGTTGTTGTTGTTTCATTTAGGAAGAACTTTGCTTCTGCTTCATTCTTTATAAAGTGCTTTGGATAAACATGTTTATCATCTCAAACAAGAATAGTCTGTTGCTATGAAATCTTATGCTGTAATATATTTCTTAATCTTTAAGATTCTGTCATTTTTGTATATTGCTCTGTGTTTTTATAGTACATTGTAAACATAATTCATCACTTATTTTGTTTTAATTTTAGGTCATCAGGAAAATAACAACTTTTGCTCAGTCAATATAAATATAGGTCCAGGTGATTGTGAATGGTTTGTTGTTCCAGAAAATTACTGGGGTGTCATGAATGATTTTTGTGAAAAGTAAGTGTTGCTCTCTCTCTCTTTCTCTGAAACAGAGATGGGAAAGTGGTAATATTCCAGGTGCAGCCAGATTATAATTCTCAGCAGCCCCAAATAGCATGGCTATGTGAGATATTCTGAATTGAAAAGCTATAGATTCCTCTCCTCTAAAACAATCCTATTTTTAATTATATTCAGTATTTTTGTCATTGTCTCCTATAGTCTTTTTTCTTTTTCTGCCATCTTAACGCTACTCCTAAGGTAATAGCAATATTGTGGAGTCCTTGGGATTCTCTGAGCTTGGTTATTTTCTTGCAGACATTTTGTCTGCAAACCAAGGAGAAAACAACACCCCCACCTACACTGACAGGGCAAGCTACGGTATATAAACAGAGAGCAAACTCCACTCCCTTCTGGCACTGAAGATATTACCTAACCGGGTAACGAAACATCTGCAAGAAAACAAGCTCAGAGAACCCCAAGGACTCCACAATTCAACCCTGAGCTACATATATTCTCTTCTATTCCACAATTCAACCCTGAGCTACATATATTCTCTTCTATTCCACAATTCAACCCTGAGCTACATATATTCTCTTCTATTCCACAATTCAACCCTGAGCTACATATATTCTCTTCTATTGGTAATAGCAATATTGGTGTGCAAGTATAGATAAAAATTATCATCCTAGCTGGAATCTAATTAATCAGCATAAAATATGCTTATGTTTTAAGCCTTGCAATTTGTAATTTCTTAGAAAGGAGTTTGTCATACCATGCTGCAAGCATTTATATTAGAGGATCACATGTGATGAAGGGGATGTGCTATTCATAGTTTTTTTTAGAAAAAGACAAATATTCTATTGAGCATAAGCAAGCACTTGTGTATAACTAAACTTTTCCATTGGAATCCTTAGCTGCAATAGTAAATGGCTTGAACTATCCTGAAAAGCAATTGGTAGTAAGCTGCAAACAAGTTACATCCCATAACTATAGCAATATAACACTACATGGCTGTTTCTTACACCACAAAATATAAATAATGAAACCACTGTATGCCCCAGACATATCTGATTGTAACATTCACATAACAATAACTGGTGCTCTTTCATCTAGTTGAACCACTTGCAACTGCTTCTTAACAGATAATAGTGTTTCATGAGTCTGACAGCTTACTAATGATTGTTGCAACTTCTCCTATCAGTGATACAGCTGTGCACAGGATTATGAAGCCTAGATATACCCAGGATTTTCTGAGGATAAGTGGTCTTAGAAAATATCAGCACAATTACTTGCAGTACTACAGCATACAGCAGAGCTGTGGATAAGCAAAGTAATACCACAAGTAATGGCTATTTCTGAAACCATATTCCTGGCAAACATAATTTGTGTTAAAAAAAATATTCTTGCCTTCTAATTTTTTTGTACAAGTATTGAGATATAGTCATTTGTTTTTACAGTGAAGTTTACTAAAAAAAAAAATTATTGTCTAGGGAAACAAGCATATTCAATTATGTGTATATATACTGTAGTATTCATTTTGTCAATTGTGTAGAATATTTAGATTATTAAGATTTTGAACTATGGAATATTTCTTCTGACAAATATTTAAACCTTGTTCTTTTACAGAAACAATATGAATTTTCTAATGGGTTCTTGGTGGCCTAATCTGGAAGATTTGTATGAAGCCAATGTTCCGGTTTATAGATTTATTCAACGACCTGGAGATCTAGTGTGGATAAATGCTGGGACTGTTCACTGGGTTCAGGCTGTTGGCTGGTGTAATAATATTGCCTGGAATGTTGGCCCTCTTACAGGTATGAGACTGATAAATCTTACAACTGGAAAATAATTTAGAAATATTTCTGAAATTTCAACTTTCTAATAGATTAAGTATGTAACATATTTACAAAACACCAAACTAGACTGATCTGAAGCAGTGGAAATTATGGTAATAGATAAGATAATTTGATACTTTAATAGCCATTTTGAAAAATGTCCAGATGAAACAAAACTTGTTTTAGGACAATTATCAAAATGATTTTAAAATATGTTTTCAAAGTAATATCTTGCAATAGAAAAGATATGGAAGTGTTATAGACGGATTGAGCAAGTTGTGAATAGAGTATCATAAATAATATTCAGCACTGTCTTCTTCTAAACCACGATTTTGATGATCAGAAATGAGCTGTTCCCTCCTTCATTTGTACATATTTTTCCCTTGACCCAGGTGAACATTTTTTGGTTTATCAGACCCTGATTTGCCCTTGACATCAGGTTTGAGCAACTTTTACAAACTTTGATTGAATAATAATTTGCAATCCTAATTTGAAGGAAAGCTTGAGTCATTATTTCCCATGGCAGCTTGTCAAGTCAGGAAGTCTTATTAAACAGGTGCAAGAGGACTGTTTAATTGTGACTGGGTTCACATACCTTGCTAAGGCATAGTTGGTTAATTGTGGTTTTTTGAATAAGTAATGCTTGGGATACACAAAACATATTAACTCCTGTGCTATAATTTGCATACAACAATAGTTGAATTCACAAAACATGCTAAACCAAAACCAAACCAAACATCTTATGCTTAGCATGATATGTGAACTCACCAGATATCTTTTCTGATCCTCAAAATCATGGTTTTTGTTATCTGTCACCTGAAAGCAGCCATATGTCTTAGGTTATTGGTACTTAAACCCCAAAACTTGTTTTGTCGGTATGGTTTCATCACAAAAGGCCCTGCATAGATTTTTTTTTTTTAAATGTTTTTTGAAATCCCATTCATTTTTATTTGCCTTTAATACATAAAAATATGCTTAATGTAAAATGCCTCACTGTAAATGTTCTCTTATGTCTCTTATGTTCTCCTTTGGCATATGCAATAAAGAATTATGGCAAAGTGATTCCACAGTGCTAAAAGTCTCTAATGACTAGATAATTTTCTTGATGGAGGGGGAAATCATCATAGGAAGGTGGTCCCCATATTTTTTTTTCCTTCATTTTTTGTAGCTTGTCAATATAAATTAGCTGTGGAACGGTACGAGTGGAATAAGTTGCAAAGTGTGAAGTCAGTAGTACCTATGGTTCATCTTTCTTGGAACATAGCACGAAATATCAAAGTACCAGATCCAAAGCTTTTTGAAATGATCAAGTAAGTCCATTTTAAATCAATATATGTTTACTTACTGGGTTATTATTTGTAGAAAGAACAAATCTCTAAGTGAAACAAATTAGGGGTTCCTGGTATAGAAATATTATAGCTTAAATACTGAAGAAAGCTCATCGCTACTGTTGAATGTGGCTGATTTGTAAAAGGACAATATTCATCTTGGCAATACATGGAAAACATAGTCTCCCACTGCCTTATAATTAAGTAAAACAAGGATAATACAGTATATCTAATACTCTGATAAAGAGCAGTAAACCACCTGCTCTTGATTATTGGCTTTGCAATATCTATTAACAAATATTTCTCTTTATATAAAAGATCAGAAACCCCTACAATAATGCCTGATATTTTTGCTTTTTTGGATTAAGTATTGTATGTGGGTAATTGTAACTAACATGCAGAATGCAGTATATGGATCCAAAGAAAGGTGCTTTGAATACAGCATAGGTACACTTGCTGTACGTATGGGGAATTCCTTAACCCATGCCTTTTTCTAGGACCACACAACTGTGTGTAAACCCAGGAAAAGGTGTGACTTAAGGAACTGTCAACAGATTCAGTGAGCATACCCATGCCATATCTGAAGGACCTTTTCCTGCTTCAAATTTGAATACTGCACATTTCTAATACTGAGCTATGGATCAAACCTTTGGGAGCATGATAGTTATATATAATTTTGTACTGATGAGGAAGTGAATGTGATTGTAGTTTAAGCCATCAAAGCTACATTTCAATAGAGTGCACTCTTTTTCACTCCTTTCAAAAGTATACATTGTGAAGAATGATGACGTGTTTGCTGATTCTCTTCAAGGAGTAACTGACTGTGCTAATATATTGCACACTTTTCTCAATTTCCTCTCCCTCTTTATTATTGCATGATTCTTCTTCAGTTTCCAGGTCTATAGAGGAGGTAGAAGAGCTAAATCTATTTCATCACTATTGCTATATAGTAAATCATTACATTGTTTTCCAGATTGCCACGTAAATGTAGCAATATACACACTCAAATCTTTTGTCAAGCTGATTGTTGATGGAAATGAAGGAATAGGAAAGGAATGAATTAATTGACCAAATTGTTTGTGATGATTATATTTATAACATTGAAGGTACTGTATAGTCCGGCAACTCTGGAGAAGCATGATAGGGAGCATCCTGTGTTTACATTATCAGAATATTACTGAATAAATTATATATGAATCCAAACATGTTTTCAAATTAGGTTAAACTTAAGTGACATTAATACATTAAAACAAAATACAGTGCAGCAATATTTTTAAAGAAATAAGAAATATAAAGAACAGATAAAATAGTATTAAAAAAGGGGAGAATTTAGTGTTTCAATAACCAAGTGAAATACAAAAGACAGTGGAAACCCAAGCTAAACATCAATGTCAAGAAAAATAAGATCTTTTCTGTTAATGCTGAACAGAAAAGGCTAGATTTAGGAACTTGTAGATAATGCTTATAAAAAGACATTCTACCAGGAGGTCCCTACAGCCACTGCATTACAAGTATAATGCAACACTTAAGATTCTTTGTCATAATTCTATGATGTAGATGCTGCAAGAATGATATGTATGATCAATTGAAACAAAATATATCAATTAAATAGGTATTATTTCTAAATTTAGTAGTCAAAGCAAAAAAAGAGGAAATCATGTCAGGTATTTACTAAGAGATGTTCAGTCTGAAGCACCAGAGCTCCTATGTTACTTTTATAATTTTCTAACAAATAAGATGGACAAACTGAGCTTTTGAGGCCTATTGCTATTTCCCATGGTTAGTTACAAACTTTCAGCTCATAGATCATAAATTATTGTTATGAGGATACATTGAAGACTGATTCTAATCTCGAGTTCCCATAGGAAAGGCAAGATAGGAGGGTAAAAAGAAAATGAAATGAATGCAAATATTTAGGGTCTAAAAGAAAATCTTCTGAAGAATTGTGGTAGGCAGCCTATTTTTGTCTTGAACCCATTTTTTCCACTGCTGGAAATTGGTGCTGTAATTTCACAGCAATCAGGTCCATCATATTTGGTGGTCATGACTGAAAAAAACAATCTTTTAGGAAGGCTTCGCATGCATACAGTTTCCTCTCAAAGGCCTAAATTGCTCTCTTAATGGATTGAATACTTTTTTATTAGTCTGATCAGGGTTTTTTAAATTTAACATGCATTTCTAATACTTTCACAAAGCCACTGCTTTGAGAAAGCTTTTGTTTTGACAGGTGGCATATGAATTCTTAAGCAAAAATGTAAAAGTAAAATGTTTAGCAAAAGGAGGAAAAATTGCATTTTATAATTTTATAAATTATAAAAAAGTTACTGACCATTCATAGCTGTATTTTCCAAGTTGGATCATCTAGTCCCCCACATTTTATGATCGAGATAGTGTCTATTACCATTTTTATAATTTAATTAACTAGAATAAAACTGGCTCTTGAATACTTGCAAAGAAACAAAGCAGGTGGAATGCTTCTGTTAAACCTAATTAAAAATATTACAGTGATGGTATCAATATATTTTTATGTTTTATATATTGTGTTTATATTGCATTTTTAATTCTTGTCAGCCACCTAAAGTTGCATTTGTGAGATGGGCAGCCATATAAATTGATTTAAATAAATAAATAAATATTAAGACTTTTAATTAAAAACTTGAAGGAATATTGGATTTTGTCATGTAATTGGTTAATATCAAGGAAAGATGAGGATATATTTATATCAGAAATCAAATTTGTATTCCATCTTATCTGCCACAAAGCTTAATGTTGTATCATATTTCAGTACTGTTCTGGAATAGGATCACTTGGAAAAATTATATGAGTACTCTTTGACTATACTATTGATTGGAGGCATGGTACCACATCAAAGTTATGTCATTAGGAGATCAGTCTGCCTGCCTGCCTGCCTGCCTGCTTGCCTGCCTGCCTGCCTACCTACCTACCTACCTACCTACCTACCTACCTACC